ATTTCCATATGTGGGAGTGCTAATTACATAGATTTACATACTATTTTAAATTAGACAAAAATATATGCATTTTTCATGCTTGGATCTTCTGGACCATCTTTGATCAAAATCACCTGTTACATTAAAATTGAGGGATTAAATGTTAGCACAGAATCACATAACTTATACAACACATGATATATCTGTTAGCAAGTCTAGGATCTATAAATAATACAATCTAACTTTACAATAGGCACTCAACACAACAACAAACAATGTAACGCTAATAATAGAAGCACTATAAATCGCATGACCAAGACATTTAACTTTCAACAAACTTACATATTTTTCCTTCTCAACACAACATATCCAGTGCAATTTCACAGGTGGGGCCTGGGGAGGGTAGAAATTTTATAACAAAAGGTTATAGCAAGATTTTCTGAACCCGGAGATGGGGGTAGGTGGTACCTCTGTCGCTTAAAATTTTCAAGATCTTCGACTTGCAACATTTTATTTCTGATTAAGCAAGCTTCTAGCAGACTCATTGACATGTTTATAGTCCAAGGCTCCAAGCTAACAAAAAAGATTCTATAGGAATGTGAGGAAGCAACTATTAAGCACTGATGGGGTTGCAAAGTGTTTTTAGATTCTCTTTTTTGATCTTCTGTAACGTAGATCTGAAAACCATTATAATAAGTTCTAAGCTAGCCACTTTGTGAAAAGAAATAAATTAAAGAGAAAGCGGATAGAGACACCAATTTCCCTTTTGAAAATAACATAACAGATGCACAATGCAACAAAATTACCCATAGATTATTATCATGAATTGCTGTTTAATTGTGTTCTTTAATCTCTTATTCCATGTTGTTCTGTTTTTTGGCTTCGGGTGGAGAGAGTTTATTCTCACCAAGCATTTTCACTATTAAGCTTCACTTGGATTTTGACAAACATTATTTTTATTCAAAGTTAACAATGTCTTGTTAGATTCTTTTGACAATTTTAACGTTGGGACTTAGGACAGGGTTACACCTCCAACCAGTGTGGGCATGTTGGGTATATGTTGGAAATTTATATACCTGAGCAGTGATGGAAAAGTGGTTGTGCAATTGCGTGTGAAGAAACAATTACACAGGCTTTATTTGCCAGAAGCTAAAAATGATAAAAAGCCAGAATCAAAAAGCGTTCCCCTATGTTTAATGTAAGCCATCAGGAAAAACTCAAACAAATCAACAAGGAGAAATTACTGAAGAGACTTGTCTAATAGTCATATAAATCAAGATAGGTAAATAGTTCTACCAAACAGGTTTGATTTCACAAGTTTTTAATTAGTAACTGTTATTTCGTACGGTAATTTTTTATTCTATCAGTTTATGGTGGTTATTCCAACAAGATTAATCGAGGAAAGTACATCAATAGTCTTCAGTGATAACAATCATTATAATACCAGAAAGAATATATTTTCATTTAAGTGATAAAAGAAGTACATGTAAAAAGATAACTTTTAACTAACCTGCTATCACATGAGAAAATATTTTCAATTTCCACAAAAGAAGAGGAACACAAGGCATCCACATAGCAACATCAAAAGCTTGCAAAACACGGCATTCAGTGGCAGCAGCAAAAGAGTGCAAAAAATGACCGTTTCGAGAACCACAACAAAAGTGTTCCAACTGCAATTCAAAATAATAAAAGATAATGTGTCTAGAGACTGAATCGAATTCAAAGAAAATAAATTCAAAGATAAGTAAATCCTATTTATATTAGTCAATTGCAAAGATGAAATTTTAAACAATGTTAAAAATAATTTAAATACCTTTTAATTCTTTTTCATGGGATGATTTTTCATTTCCATGCTATGTTTGTGGGTGGAAGGATTATATTTATTTGCCATGCTTGGATATTCTTTTTCCCCTGAACTAAGATGTTCAATTGTGCGCTTTTTCGCATCTGTAACATTGACAGTTGTAGATGTCATTGGTTTATGAATTACATCTTGTTTCTCCAGGTAAAGACAAAATGAATAATTTTTGTGTTGCATCCATTTTTTTTGTGAATAGCCTTTTCATTTGAATGTTGAATATCTTGCCGTTCAATTGATCTTCCACATTTTGGAGCGATAATGTTTCTTTCGATTAATAATAGCAAAATCATTAATATTTTATATTTTATATGTATAATAATAAGAAAATAAAGCGAACAGACAAATAGAAAGAGATTGAATATTTTAGCATAAAAAGATGATCAACAACAATAAATATTAAAGTTGTTTTTAAAGGAAAATCAATATCTCTATGTTTATGTATTTACATCTTAACTGGAATTCAATATTAAAGGTCTTTCAACCAATCGGAGTCAACATGCAACAGTTCTAAAACGGCCACGCCTATTGTGGTAGGTACGCATGACAGTTTATGCACAAAGCGCTCAGCCAATGGGTAACCATGTGAGATGGATAAAAGCCAAAAAAATATATACAATGATAATATTTTTATAAAGAAAGTTGACTGTAAACAGATAACAAAAAGTATAAGTTAGGTGCTGGAGAAAAGAAACACGAACATAAGATATGAAATTTTGATTGAAAAGAGTACACTGAACACTTTACAGAAGGAGACGTTGATGACATAATGTAAGAGATACACCCAAAGTATGTAAAGTTAAAAACCTCTTTTAGAGTTAAGGCATGACCTAGAATCACATGTTCCTACTATAAAAGTTTTTACAACTTACATGATACATAAAAATAGATCTTTATTACAAATTCTTTCATGCTATAGTTCTAAGCTTATAGAGTTATAGTATCCTTTTCAAGGAAGTCATATGTTCAAGAAGTAGGATGCAAGTAGCTCATAAGTAATAATTGCTAATGAAACTTTTTTGTAAAAAGATGGAGTTTTATTCATCTGTGAGTTCACTTCTTTTTATTTTAAAATCACTCTCAATCTACAATGTCGTTTGCTTTTTTTCTCAAATTTCTCGTTGTTCTTTTTTATGTCTAAAGTTGATGTCATTATTGTTTTGTCCTATATCTTCCCAATTTAATGGTTAAAGTGAAAACTTTTGTATGCAACTGCCGTCTTTATTTATGGTTACATAGTGATCCTTTAGAGAATAATATAGTACGTGAATTTCTTTGGGTTTTAGGATACATAATAATTAAGACTTGAGGTATCGCTTTACGACATAATGTAAGAAATACACCCAAAGTATGTAAAGTTAAAATCTCTTTTAGAGTTAAGGCATGACCTACAATCACATGTTCCTACTATAAAAGTTTTTACAACTTACATGATACATAAAAATAGATCTTTATTACAAAGTCTCTCATGCTAGAGTTCTAAGCTTATAGATTTATAGTATCCTTTTCAAGTTAAGGAAGTCAGATGTTCACTTGATCATATGTTCATTCAGTTGAAACTCTTAAAAAGTTAGATAGTATATTTTTCACGTAATTACAGAAAGTAATTGGTCATAGTTTAACTACATATAATATATGATTAGTAATCTTAAAATAAGTAATTGATAATTAGTTTCGCTTAACTGTTATAAGCCAATGGGCAGACTTTATAGGAGATATGAGGGAGAGTTGAACCTTGTGTTCAAGAGTAGAAATAAGAAATAATGAAAAAAAAAATCACAACAAGTTCTTTGTGATTATTTGGTGAGAAAATAGTGATATGTACCTTGATGAAGCAAATTTCATAAATTTCTTTTGAAGTGAGGTGCAACATTTTCTCTGCAATTTCATCCGAAACAATAGCTGTTGCAAAACCGCTGTTGTCCTTAATAGTAACTTCAAATTGACATCTGTTTTGACAATCAATGAAAGAATTAAAAAAATAATGGTTAGTTAAGACATTTATTTCTTTGAAAAAAGAAAATAAATATTTTTAATTAGTTATTATTAATTTTGAAGAAGAGCAAATATACCTAAGAATAAGACGTGTGGATTGGTGACAACTTGTGCAGTAGATTTCCCTTCGCACGTTATATCTCGTGAACAATTGCTTACAATTTGAGCATGCCAACACACTAAAGCGTTGATCATTACTTACAAGGGACAATTCAGTCTCAGCTTTAAATACTTGTCCCTTCAAATTCAATATACCAAATATTATTTTTTACTGTAAAATAAAAAAATTAAAAAAAATAGAATAATATACTTGTTGTTCTTACCGGAGGTTGTGCTTGGATGTTAGCCACAGATATAACCTCATCCTCAAATGGAATCAACATAATAGAGCCTATTGGAGTTGTACTTTTCATCTTATAAGCAACAAGCTTTGTTTCAATTGTTTTGATCCTATAACCAAAGTAAAATTATGAAAATGTCTTGTAGAAAGATTAGGAAAAAAGAAATAAAAGTGAAATTTTAAAACTTTGTGATTGTAATAAGATTAAAGATGTGTTTTATATCTCAAAATAATTTTGGAATTTCGATGCATTAAATAAAAATGTATATTACCACATCCTTAATTCGGCAGCCTGTGGATATGGAGGATTGATTTCAATTGTTGTATTGAATTTGCTTGTCAAACCAACGAATCTATTCGACGTTCCTACGTGCATTTGAATATGTGATTTTAGTTTCATCATGTCATATATTTTTCAAAAGAAAAAATAAATTTATTTGCACTTTTACCTGAAGATGATTTCCCAATTCTCCTAGCAAGAATGATCGGGTAATCATGAAGTTGGTTGAACAGTTTAACTCCCTCATGATCAATGAAATCCTCCCAAAGTGTCAGTTTTGTTGGTTTTTTCCTGCATATGATTCGAAGGATATTTTCAAACATTAAAAATAAAAGTTACAGAAGATATGTGATATTGTAAAAACATTATAAATAATAAAATTCAAGTCAGATTATTAGTAACAAATACCAAGGATGGCCTAGAGTTTGTCTCAGTGTACTCTCAATTAGACATAGAGCAAGATCAAATGAAGATAGACAAAGAAACTTGAGGACAGAACCAAGAACATGAAAAGATAAGGAGGAACATCTGCCAAATTCCTTACAGGCAGCAGTAGCCTCGGCTATTTTATTTTCATTGGGTATCATTGTGCCCATTTTTAATGCTGCATTTATACCAAATTACAAGGTAAGGCAGGCTGTGAATGTGGCTGCAATGAGCTTGTCATTGTTACTATGTGGAGGAATTGGTACTTTGTTGAGCACAAGTCCTATGGTGAAATCTTGTCCAAAAGTTTTATTAGAGGCAGGATGGCTATGGTCATTACCTTTTGCCAAAGGAACAAGTCAGTCTAGCAGATTGGGCTTTACACTGCCATAGGAAAAATACTACTAAGGAGCTTATGGATGCATATATTAAAAGGGAGATTATAAAAGAATGTTTGAAGCAATTCATCAATACAGCAGTGAGTTGCTTGTCTGATCACAGAACTGATCATCCTTCAATGGTTTCACTGCTGTGGAATCTTGAGTACTGCCTTCAGTCGCAAAGTGATCTTGATGAACCAAAAATGGTGGTAGAACAGAAAGCTAATGATGTATATGCTATGCATACATAATTGCTAACGGTTGCTGAAAAAGGTAAGGAGTCAGAGGAGCACACAACGTTGAGACTACTTATGGAAGGGTACTAAAGAAGGCAAAGAATATCATCTTGTTAATTGAAAAACTTCTTAACTAAGCAGAGAGCATGATGGACTGCGTTTACTGACGTACTGATGAAATGACTTTGGAGTTACAATGGTGAAGATCAAAATTCAAACATATGGCCAAAGAAACCACAAGTGGTGCACTAATATAGTTTCCAACAATTATGGAGTTGGTGTATGAAGGTCTATTAGGCCATCATGGCCAGCTTTGTCTGAGAATATGCGCTAAAATAACTTGTTAAAGCATGAATAACAAATATACAGACAGTCTATTCGTCATAGACTCATAAGACATAAACAGTTTATTCATCACATGGCAAATTTCGAACACAAACAGGTTTACATGTATGGGTCACAAACAGGTTTACAACCAAGATGAGGTAAATAAATGCTAAACATATAACGTTTACATGTTTGACAATATGTGATTTTTCTATAGTTACCATTCAATTCGGTGATCAATTGGAGAATCTTTTCTCACTTATATATAATCTCATAGTCAGCTTAATGTGCCTTAGGCATGTTATACCTAAGAGATCCCAGTATTCTCCTATAACTTTTGGAAGTTTTGGTGTCATTACCATAGCTCTTTTGTTGCTTATTATCTAGCAATTCTTTAGTGTAAGAGCAGTAATAATGTACTTCTATTCCTGGTTCTTTCTTTTTATTATACTTTTGTCTCATTATCCTTGTTTAGGGGTTCATTATATTTGTTATATTTAAGTATTCACGTAGATGATGACATAAAACTATATGTTTGAGGGATATTCTTTGAAGTCATTGATATTGCTAACATAATCTATTAGGCCATCATGGCCAGCTTTGTCTGAGAATATGCGCTAAAATAACTTGTTAAAGCATGAATAACAAATATACAGACAGTGTATTCGTCATAGACTTATAAGAAATAAACAGTTTATTCATCACACAACAAATATCGTTTACAAACAGGTTTACATGTATGGGTCACAAACATGTTTACAACCAAGAGGAGGTAAATAAATGCTAAACATATAACGTTTACATGTTTGACAATATGTGATTTTTCTATAGTTACCATTCAATTCGGTGATCAATTGGAGAATCTTTTCTCACTTATATATAATCTCATTGCCAGCTTGTTGGTTGAATATTTTGGTCAATATATATATATATTTTGTATATAAACAGATCTCTTTGTGCATTCCAAAAAAATACAAATAGTAACAATACATATTTTCTTTTCTGCATTTAAAATTCTACTTATTAAGCAACTTAATAATATTAAAAATTGCAGGTTGCATTATTATGGAGAAAAATATTATTAAGATGTCAACTTAGAGGTAGACACAATCATTACTATCT